GGAGTTGCAGTGGGGAGACAGAAGGGACAAGGGAGGCTGTGGGGAGGCCGACAGAAACAAAACCCCTTCGAAAACTTGGAAGACTGGAAAGTTATAAAACATACCTTAAAAAAAAAATCAGTGGGCCTCAAATGCGTTGTCTTCGACCTGGTGTTTATCTTCAAACTACCTTTACCAGACAGCTCCTGGATGCCATCAGATGGGGGAGCCGGAGCAGAGCTAGAAGGCAGGAGGCCTGGACCTCCGTGGGACCGTGGGTCTTTCAGCTCTTTCCACTCGATAATGTTCTCAGCAGACATTTGTGGGCAGGTGGGGGGTGAAGGTAAGTGGGTGGAAAAAGAGAGCGGGAATTGGGGGACTGTGGAAGACACGAGGGTCAACAGGGCTTTTGCTTCCCTTGGAACCCCTTTCAGTCAACCGAGGTCTTTTCTTGCTATTCCACAACTAGGTGTTTTGTCTCTTTAAAGATATGGCTTATAACTCTCAACATTTAACACATCTCAAAAATGCAGTGTAATCTTGTTTGCTGGTTGTAAAGAAACATGCTTGTTGGGGGTAAAAGGACAGCACACAGTTTGAGGAACAGGCTTTTAAAGAATTAAGCGTCTTGATTCAGACACACTCCCCAATACCCGGGTGTGGTTCCCCCTCCTATCTGTAGCCGGGGAAGTTTTCGATGTCCACACGGGTGCTTTTTCTTCTAGCCTATAACTCTCCCCTCGCACTTTCTCATAGCTATTTGTCTCTTATTTGCATACAGTATATATGTAAAGATTTTTTTTAAAAAAAAAATCAATAGTGCAGCAAATAGAACTCATCAAATTTAAAAGAAACTCTCGTGCTGTTCATAAGTTAGAGTCTTGGGCCACTGTCTTCTCACGTTTGAGATTTGTCCGCGCGCACGCACACATGCGCATGCGCAGGTGCATCTTCGTGCTGAAACTTCATCTGGGAAGATAAGTATTTGGAGGTCCCAGTGAAAACAATGCTATAATAACTTCCTTTCTTTTTTTTTTCTTTTCTTTTTTTCTTGCTCCAGTCAATGAAAGGGGACTTTATTTGGTCTCAAGGTCCCAGGGTCCCAGGGTCCCGGGCCAGGTACAGCCCCATCTTTATTTGACCTTCTTGGGGTGCAGGTTGTTGGTGTGGCCACACTTCTTGTCACAGTGGACCGCATGAAGGTTCAGGCGTGCGTAGCACTTGCGGCAGATCACCTCGTCACAGTTGTACTTCTGGGCACGCTGATGAAGGACGGCTCGATGATGCCACCGCGCAGGCGCAGCACCAGGTGCCAGGCGGACTCTCTCTGGATGCTGTAGTCCGACAGGAAGCGGCATCCTCCAGCTGTTTGTTGGTGACTGTCAGCCTCTACTGGTCAGGTGAGATGCCTTCCTTCTTGGATTCTGGCCCTGACATTTTCGATGGAATTACTGGGTTCTACCTCAAGAATGACGGTCTTGTCCTGCAAGGGTCTTCGCAAAGTTCTGCATGTTGGCATCCGACCAGCCAGCCTCCTCGAGGAAGAGAAAGAGATACAACTAAAAAAAAAATCACTTAAATGACTTTTTCTGCTTGAACAATAACCACCTGTCCAGTGTTTTTGTGGGTAATTCTGCACCTGGTGTTGGAAATTTTCAAAAAACAATTAAAAACCCCACAGCCCCCTCCCCCCCCACCTCATTGTAGCCAGGGTTGGAAAGCCTGGAACTTAGTCCAGGCTGAACTATTTTTTTTCTTTGCATTCTTTCTATTTTTTAAAATATATATACTCAAGGTTTAAGTATTTTTGTTTGTTTGTTTGTTTTGAGTCAGGGTCTCCTACTGGAGGGAAGGGCCTGCGGTGGCCTCACCCTTTTTCTCTGTAGCTCACTCAGGGGTTTCTGTTTGTCTACTTGTTGTTTTGAGACAGAGTCTCATGTATCCCAGGATGGCCTAAAGTACTAAATCCTACTTCACTCTCCCTGGTCCTGGGATTGCTATGTAGTTCAGGCTAGCTTGGAATTCTCTTTCTTCCTGCATCAGTTCCCTGGTGCTAGGATTACAGGCATTTGCCACCTGGGCTAGCTTGCCGTCCATTTTTCTAAATGGCTCCAGGGGACAGCAAAATGACCCAGCAGGAAAAGGTACTTGCCACCAAGCCTGCCTGTGGAAGTTTGATCCCCGGAACCTACATAGTGGAAACAGAAAAGTTCTTTTTTTAGTTCTTGCTTTTATTCTCCCTTTAAAAATAGTTGTATTTATTTTATTTTGTGTGCGCCTTTTGTCTGCTTGTATGTATGTGCACCTGCGTGTGCCCAGTCCCTGAGGAGGTCACAGAAGCCTTCAGTGAAATGAGGGACATGGAGGGGAAACTGAGGTAGACTTGGAGGAGCAGAGTGGGAGTTTTATAAAAAGAGACAGGTAGACTGGGAAGGAGGAGCTGGAGAGAGGGAGATGTGGGAAGCCCTCGCTGCTCTGATTTTGCTTGTGGTCCTGGAGACGATACCTGGAAGGAGACACTTCTTAAAGCTGTCTCCTTCCTTCCTGCGGGCGGGCCTAAGAATGCAAGTCGTTTAGCTCAGTGAGGTGTGACCTTGGTTTACACTCACACCCATGGATAGCCCTGACTATCCTGGAACTGCTGAGTAGACCAGGCTAGCCTCAAACACACAGAAATCTGCCCCCCTCTGCCTCCTGAGTGCTGGGATTGAAGGTGTGTGCCATCACAGCCCGGCTCACAGTCCACTCTTACCTTAGACACCCACAGCATCTTTGTCTTAAACACTGACTGATGTTTACTCATTTCTTGTTGCGAAAAATATTATATACAAATATTCAGATGTCCAAACATTATATTTAATTTAACACGCTCATTTTAATATACATTGTAATTAAGATATGAAAAAAATATACACATGATACACAAACACAGCTGCACAGGGTATGCGAATGTATATCTGCATGTGAAAATTCAAGTGTGTGTTTGCATATGATATGCAAACATACATATCTGCATGTGTAGCCCTGGGTATGCGTGCATGCAAGGCCTCCATCTGTGCCATGTAGGATGGGTGGAAAGTTCTAGGTGGGCAGGGATCTCTCTCTCTTTTACTGGACGGCTGTTGGTGGAGAAGCTTCACACTAGAGTCAGATCTCTAGCCCTTTGTGATTCTTCCTTGCCACCTTGCTAACATGTATGAAGAGTACATATGACTTACATATAATCCGCATAGCCTACAAGTTTCCAGGCTGTCACGGTGGGTATGCTTTTATTACCATAGAGCAGTGAAACCTTCCAGTGCTTCTGACTGTGTCCAACAGCTCACTGTCTGTTCGGGCTCTAGGAGGTTGTAGTGACCCTGTGGTGTGCTTAAAGGACCTTTATCATTGGAAAGGGGGTACCCAAGAGGTTTTTATGCGGTGAGCTCTGTCGTGCAGCACCTCTGGCTTGGACATGGGTGTGCCATTTCCTAAGATGGACTTGGAATATGTACACGTTTTACCTTGAGAAGGCAGCTGTCAGGGCTGGGGTTCGTTTGTGCTGCCCAGGCTGTGTGTGCAGCCTCTATCACCTGCTGGTGTCTACAGGAAGCATTGCCACACTGGCTGCTGCTTTGTCACACACGGAGACTGGGGCTCAAACGGCCTGATCTTCTGCATGGTTAGTCGATTCTATTTCTATTTCTTGTTGCCCTGAAGCTGGATGAGCAGCGGATGTG